ACACACATTCGATGCATGTCATGGAAATCTTCTTATCGGCAAGTGTGTCTATAGTCCGGACTCCAAAACGGTTTCGAGTGTGTAATAAAATGTATCTGTGCCGTGTGTGTCTGAAGCACCCGTGTAGCTGTATGAGACCCGAGTGATTATAAAACTCGACAGGGATGTGCAGCCATGATCCCCTCTTATTCGAACCTGTCATCCCAAAGTACTCCTTGATCTATAAAAAATAGGATACAATCGGGAAGTATCCCGGGTATAAACCTAAAGCAGTAGAAATCGAAGCTGGTCTCGAGTCGATCGGCAGGTGTTGCACATTGCCGGCCCAAGCAACATGACCCCGGAGACGTGCAGACTTGCGATGCAGAACATGGTCGACATTTGTGGTACTGCCGTGGCTGGGGCTCCTAAGATTTCAGATGTCCTAAAGGTCCTCTACCCTATAAACCCTAAACCCCTATACCTCCAAACCCTAAACCCTAAAACCTAATCCCCTAAACCCCTAAACCCTAACACCTAAACCCCTAATTTTAAACCACTAAACCTGAACCCCAAACACAAAAACCTAAACGTCTAAACCCCTAAACCCTAAACCCCTAAACCCTAAACCATATGCTGCCCGCTGCACCGAGTCTCCGGAGTGCTTTGCCGGCTTGCGATACAGGTTTGCATCTAGATCTGTGGGCTTGCATTCACCGGAATCGATCTGATACTAGCTATAGCTATAGGTACTATAAGCCCTATAGACATGAACTCCGGTGCCAAAAAGATCTTAGAGTTTTGGGGTTTAGGGTTTTGGGTATATTGGAGTATATAGTTTCAGGATTCCGGGATGGGTTGAGGGATCCTGAAGCGTGAAATCCAAGGCCAAGAACCTGGAGGCAGGCATGCCTTTCGATGATGTCAAGGCCAAGTTCGAGCGAGCCAAGCGCGGGGAGTATTAGGTGCACCTAGGTTTTTATGTCTAGCTTATCATCAGCCAGCCAGAAAGTGCAGGACTGATCGTGGAGACCCGAAACATTAAACTAGTATATCCGTGCAAGCTATGACCCTTCCTCAATGTGGCTTCTAACGCATATGTATGCAATGCTGCTAGGCTTGTCGGGTCCTTTTCAGCATGTGCTGAGCTGGGTGTGTAGCTAAACACACCAGCATATGTACATGTACAGTGTGTTTCGATCATGATGGGGCAGCACTTCGTGCGATATTGGATGTTACACGGGAGGGTAACGAGCTGCGAGGGAATGGAAAACACACAACAGTGCAAGCTTGTTAGTAGGTGTGCTCTT